TTCATTGAGATATGATTGACAAATAAAATTTTATGTACTTGGGTTGTACAATGTGATTTTTTTTTTAGGGTGTATAATGTGACGTTTGATATGTGTGTACAATGCTTAACCACAGCCCACACGTCCCCACTTCATATTGCTAACATTCTGTGTGTGTGTGTGTGTGTGTGTGTGTGTGTGTGTGTGTGTGCGTGCGTGCCGAGAACACACAAGATCTACTTACAGCAAATTTCACAGGTACTGTAAGAGTTTGGAATAGTTTGTGGGTCCATTTTTTTCCTTTGCTTTTTCCTCTTATGTCCATTAGAGGGCACTGGAGAAAAAGTACTAAGGAAAAATTTGGATGTCCATGTAAATTATTTTTTGAAATGAAATGATTTTGGACTTTATGAACTTTAAGCAGCTGGCTTATGATATTTCAGGTTTCTCATAGAAATCACTCATAAAATCATCAGATCTAGGGGAAAAAAATATATATATTTCCAACTTCAGTGCAGCATGAAAATAACCGCCCCATTTTTTGTTTTTCATTATTTTTAGGTTACAGCAGGGTTTCCAGATGTGTCCTGTGTGTTCATTTGATATTGGAGACAGTATACTAAAATTCAGTGATGGATGTTATTCCTGCTTGGCTCTTCTTTTTTGTGTCTCCGGGGAGCATTTTCTTTGGGGTCCATCCATGCAGATTCCTGAGCTGTTTTCTGCCTGTTCCTCATTCTACATGATGTTAATTGCCTTAGTTGTTACTGCACAGGAAGCAGTATGCTCTAATAGCTAAGAGCATCAGCTGTAGAGCTGGGCCAGAGCACTCCTACTGTAAGACCTCTTTTGAATAATATTCACTAACTTTCATGGTGTCACAGTATCTCAGCTTGTGTGTCTGGGCAAGTTATTTCACTCTGTGTGCTAGAGTGGGAGACGATAATAGTAACTGCTTTATAAAGTTGTTTTGAAGATACAGTAAGTTAATCCATCTAAAGCCTTTATTTTATTGCCTGCCACATAGTATGTCCTTGATAACTAATAAACTATTATTGTCTAAGGAGAGATCTTCAAATGGGATACGTTTGGTCTGACTAGAATACCACCATGGTTTCTACCCCCCTCCCTCTGCAGCAAGGCAGTAATTCTAGGGCCTAAGAGAATTTTAAGGGTGGGAGTGAGAACTGAGAACAGCAGAGCTAGAGTTTGAAACGTTGCACATGCCATGTGCCGAGGGGATGGGGTGTTAGGGGAACATGGCAAGGTTGGGGAACTCTCTAAGCAGTTTGGTATGTTAAGAGTGGAGTGCGGTGGGGATGTGTGGAGAGGTGAAATAGAGAAGGAAGGCAGGGGCAGGATCCTGGAGGCCTTTTCATCCTCTGTCATGAGAGTGTGAGCTTTGTCCTAAAGGCAGTGGGAAGCAATGTGAATTGATTGAATAGGATGAGTGGGCTGGAGGTGTGGGGAGAGAGAGCTCCGGGGTAGGTTCAGACGATTAGGAGCAATCAAGTACACTAGATAATCTCATTCAGTCCTCACAAAGACCCTGGTATTGTACGGTCACCTCCACTTTATCATTTTACAGGGCAGGATACAAGCTTAGAGAAGCAAAGCAATTTGTCCAGAGTTGGATGCAGTGGGACCAAGCCCAGGCTCCATCTCTTTGTCTCACTCCCCTTTGCTGCCTCCCCAGAAGGGAAGCTGAGGAGTTTGGTTAGAGAACAAGGAGTCAGGAAGAGCCTGCCAATGCTTAGGTTGTTTATTTTCTGTTTCTCTCGTGTTGTGCTTCTAAATGTAAAGCAGATTGCTACTTGTTTTCTTCCTGCAGTAAATAAATGTTGCTAAAATACTCCCCACAGCATGTTCTGGTTAAGCAAACAGTGGTATCAGTATCATTAGTTTTGGAAATAAAGGCGGATGCTTGGTAATTACTCACCAGAGAAACATTTCAATTTACAAAAGGAGCTCGGTGTGTCCAGTTCTGATTATAAGGCTGCATAGTACTGCAGTGTAACAACATGAAGCTGGTTCTCCTTTCATAATTATTTTTAAGGCTTTAAGTGTTAAATTCACCCTCAAATGTAAAGTGACGTCTCTTCAACCCCAAGGTTGGCACTTAACCAACTAGGTGGAATTTTTACCTTAAAGTCTTTAACAAATCCCCTTTTGTCTTGTTTTTATCCTGGGCAATATTGGGGTGGTACTGTGGTTTCTGGGATGAAGGTGTGAAAATGAATTAGGTAATATTGTATAATATCTTTTTCTTTCTTTTTTTTTTAAGAGAATTGGTACCACTTTTTGGCTCCCATTATTACAGCAGATTCATATATTTCCGTCTATTTATAAAGAACTTTTCACTTATTTATAGTCATTTTCCTAAGTGCCTAGGAAGTGAGCTTATAATCAGTTTTCCGTTTCGTGTATCAGAAAATAGCAACTTGGAGAGGGCATGCGTTTTCTTTCAAGACAAGTGTGATGGGTTTGGGAGTTGGGGAGGGGTGGAAGGTTGGAGACAGGGAGACCTTAGTTTGGCTATTGCAGTTGTCCCTTAGGTGAAACCAAGGCTGAGGGCAAAAGCAGTGGCATTGTGGATGGAGAGAACCCGTACGTTGAGAATTAAAAGTTTAGAACTTGGTCACGTGTTGCCCAATGGGTGTGCAGCAGAGGAAGTAATACAGATTGACCAGTTCTGGGATCTTCATTTATTTCTGCTTAGACTATGTAACGGCTATAAAAAAATAAATAAAAATATACGGGTCCTATGTCAGTTGTTATGTTGTTATATTCTGGGCAAACGGGAAAATGTCTGCAGATAGGAGCTTAGAATTAGAATTTGAATGGGGCTTTGCGCTTCCTTGGAGAGTGTTGTGAACCATTGTATTTCTTTTCAGAAATGGAGTTACTGCTGCATATGCAAGATAGGACTAAACTCTAAACTGTCATAGAGGGAAAGAATGATAAATTTTTGCCCTGAATACCCAAGACCTTTAATCATAGCCACTGCTCTCTTTCCATGTGAATTATATGTCCAGATGATTGAATCTGGAGTAGCTGCACTCACATTTTATAATAGATAATTTCTCTAGTGTTGGGACATGGACAGTGTTCCATGGCCATTCTTTTTTTAAAAAATAAATTTATTTATTTATTTTTGGCTGTGTTGGGTCTTTGTTATGGTGTGCGGGCTTCTCATTGTGGTACGCGGGCCTCTCACTGTTGTGGCCTCTCCCGTTGTGGAGCATAGGCTCCAGATGCGCAGCCTCAGCGGCCATGGCTTATGGCCCCAGCCGCTCCATGGCATGTGGGATATTCCTGGACCCGGGCACGAATCCATGTCCCCTGCATCGGCAGGCGGACTCTCAACCACTGCGCCACCAGGGAAGCCCTTGAGGGCAGATATTGCCACCTACTATCAATTCTTGCATGATTAGTAGGGAATTACAATAACTTGCTTCGGAATTACTTCAGAGACATTTAAATGCTCTCAAGGTCAAGGTTAGTTCACTTTGCTCCACCACAAGACTTCCTTGGAACTCAAGCTCACATCTTTGCTTTTAGGCCTGAAATAGACTTTAAAAAAAAAAAAAAAAAAAGAACAAACCATAGGATTCTTTTTTTTTTTCTTTTTAAAAAATATTTATTTATTTATTTGGTTGCACTGGGTCTTAGTTGTGGCAGGCGGGCTCCTTAGTTGCAGCATGCAAACTCTTAGTTGCGGCATGCATGTGGGATATAGTTCCCTGAGCAGGGATTGAACCCAGTTACCCTGCATTGGGAGCGTGGAGTCTTATCCACTGCGCCACCAGGGAAGTCCCTGGTGGGACAGCAAATCCCTATTCACTTCCTGCCCAGGTTCAAACATGGATCATCCTCCTTTTTCTGTATTAGTTTGACACAGACCCGAGACATCATGTCATCTGTGAGGTGTTGTCACTTTTAGGTAGAAAGGGCGTTGTTTTGAGTCTGCTCATTGATTCACTGGGGTTAGACACTGAAAATGGGACAGGCAATGAGGGTAGTTTAGGGCTTGGTGGTAGGGCTCCTGCTCCGGTGACTTATTTTGGATTTCTGCAGCTCGTAGTAAGATCTGATGAATGTCTCCTCTGAAGTGTAACACAGACTTTGTGGGTTGTCTCAAAATGATCAATTAGCACTTTAACCATTTTCCAAAAAAGTATTGAGATAACTTTAAAATATATATACATGTAATGAGATTTAAAAAGAGAGGAAGAAATCAATGTAAAGGGTGAATGGGGGTCATCTTGTAATACGACGTCACTGACAGAATATAAGACACCAATGATGCAAGGCCTGATACAGTGATCAGAGTTGTGCTGTGAATCTTCTAGTGGCCAAAGTCAAAAGGAAACACAGTTTTATATTATCCTTCAGATTTATTTCTATCACTGAAGACAAATTTTTACCATGGGATCTTCTGTAAGAAGCCTTTGAGGCTGCAGGTGGAGGTGGTGGAGTGACTTGGGTTCTGAGCAGGTGGCTGGGCAGCTCAGAGCAATTTTTTGACTTGTTTTGGGGGTTTGCAGATGTTATAACCAGCACTACTATAATTTAGTGAAGTCCTATTATGTATCAGGCATTGTGCCAGGTAATTTTGTTTCATTTAATCTTCAACACACTTCTGCTCCACAGATATTCCTTTTCTCTCTTTTCAGGTGAGGGAATTGAAATTTAGAGAAATAATTTGCTGCAGTTGGGCAGCTATCTGTGCTCAGATTGTGAAAACTATTTGACATCTAGATAAGTGGATTATTGATTTATGTTTTGTGGATGTGTGTGTTTGAATATGTAGTTACTTTTTTTGGAAAAAAAAAAAAGCCCCTGGTGTGTCTTTAGCTCAGTGTGTGACTGGAAATGTGATCACTTGGAAGAGAACAGGTTTATGGGCTGTGTGGTTCGTGATGAACCCTTTTATCCATGCTACGTGTGTTTGATTGTCGTGCTGTTATTTCCCTTGCCCATTACCAATTCTGGGTTTCATTCTTTTCATTTTAATACAGAGAGAAAAGGAGCAGCAGGAAGGGGAAACTAGTTTGATCAGGAGCACAGTGAAGAATGAAGCCGGTGAAAGAAGAGCTATGATAACTCCTGCTCTCCGAGAAGCCCTTACTAAACAAGGTTTAAGTCCTCAAGAACTGTTATAATTCTACACTCTTAAGCATTCTAAAAGAGGAAACATAAAATAGGGATTGCCAAGAGGAACAAAGATAAAGAAGTCCTGGGCTTCCCTGGTGGCGCAGTGCTTGAGAGTCCGCCTGCCGATGCGGGAGACGCGGGTTCGTGCCCCGTTTCGGGAGGATCCCGGCAGGGCCTGGGGTGGGGACCTCTGCTCAGGGTCAAGGGTCATCATGCCGAAGCCAAGAGACAAGGTCCTGTTCAAGGCGGTTGCATAACAACGTTTCACAAACTTCAGGTCATAGCCTGTTCCCGGGGTTACAAAATCAGTTTAGTGGGCTGTGAGTAGCATTAAAAAAAAAAAAAAAAAGATAAAGAAGTCCTGCTATAGTTGGCTCAGCTGCTGTGTGGTTGTGGCAGCTGTAGCTGTTTAAGGAGTCACGGTCTTGTTTCTGTGGATCACTTGTGTGTTGGCTGCCTGGACCAGCAAGGGTTCTTCTTTGCTTGGTTTATTGGGATGGTACTTTACCATCAGTGAGGCTCAGGTATGCAGATGGTAGGTGCAATCATTGGCTTCTTTACACGTCACTGTTTATTAAGGGGAAATTATTAAACCTCATATGATATTAGGCTGGGTTAATTAGAAGTGTTTTATGTATAAGTATATCTGGATTTCTGTGGTCCTACCTTATGAAGAAGGCTGCAGTTGAATGAACGAATGATATTGGTTTCCTGTAGAAGAAAGAGTAATAAACTGGGGGTGAGTAGACCGACTTCCTTCCCTCCCTCCCTCTTTCTATAATTATTGAGATCCTTTTATGTGACAGTTCTGGCAATGCAGAGGAACTTAAGATACTTGACGTATCTCCTTCGAGGAGCTCTCAACTTATTAGAGGAGACAGACAAAAATATACAAATGTTTTTACATAGAAATATATATGCTTTTTTTTTTTTTTTTTTTTTTTTGCCTCTCACCATTGTGGCCTCTCCTGTTGCGGAGCACAGGCTCCGGACGCGCAGGCTCAGCGGCCATGGCTCACGGGCCCAGCCGCTCCGCGGCATGTGGGATCTTCCCGGACCGGGGCACGAACCCGTGTCCCCTGCATCGGCAGCCGGACCTTCAACCACTGTGCCGCCAGGGAAGCCCTATATGCCTTTTAATTAGAGTAGAATAAAGTGATTTTTTTTTTACGTCAAATCATATTTAATACTTCTGATTACTGTTCAGTTTGTCAGTATTGATGCAAAATTAAGTCTCATTCATATAGGAATAAAGTGATTTTTATAATAGGTTTAAATCTGTCATCTTGCTGTTTGTTTTCTACTTGTCTCGTGTTCTTTGATTTCCTTTCTCTTGTTTTACTGCCTTCTTTTAGATTGTTTTTAAATTATATGATTCTGTTTTACATCCTTTGTTAGCTTATTAGCTATAGCACTGTTTTGTTCCTTAGTGGTTGCTTGAGGTTTTATACTCTACTGTATCACAGTATATCGTCACGTGGTGTTACACCACTTCATGTAAAGTGGAAGAACCTTCAGTGCTTCTGTTTTTGCCCTCCTCAACCTCTATGCAATTGTTTTCATACATTTTACTTTTTTACACATGGTTTAAGCCCTGTACTACATTGCTATTCTTTTGGTTTAAACAATTATCTACTACAGATTTAAATAGTTAGGAAAAAATTTTATATATTGACTCATGTAGTTACTACTTTTGGTATTTTTCTTTTTTTTTTTTAAATAATACACAATGTATTTATTTATTTATTTATGGCTGTGTTGGGTCTTCATTTCTGTGCATGGGCTTTCTCTAGTTGTGGCAAGTGGGGGGCACTCTTCATCGCGGGGCGCAGGCCTCTCACTATCGCGGCCTCTGTTGTTGCGGAGGACAGGCTCCAGACGCGCAGGCTCAGTAATTGTGGCTCACGGGCCCAGGTGCTCCCTGGCATGTGGGATTTTCCCAGACCAGGGCTCGAACCTGAGTTGTCTGCATTGGCAGGGCGATTTTCAACCACTGCGCCACCAGGGAAGCCCTACTTTTGGTATTTTTCTTTTTTTTTTTTAAATAATACACAATGTATTTATTTATTTATGGCTGTGTTGGGTCTTCATTTCTGTGCATGGGCTTTCTCTAGTTGTGGCAAGTGGGGGGCACTCTTCATCGCGGGGCGCAGGCCTCTCACTATCGCGGCCTCTGTTGTTGCGGAGGACAGGCTCCAGACGCGCAGGCTCAGTAATTGTGGCTCACGGGCCCAGGTGCTCCCTGGCATGTGGGATTTTCCCAGACCAGGGCTCGAACCTGAGTTGTCTGCATTGGCAGGGCGATTTTCAACCACTGCGCCACCAGGGAAGCCCTACTTTTGGTATTTTTCTTTTTTTTTTTTAAATAATACACAATGTATTTATTTATTTATGGCTGTGTTGGGTCTTCATTTCTGTGCATGGGCTTTCTCTAGTTGTGGCAAGTGGGGGGCACTCTTCATCGCGGGGCGCAGGCCTCTCACTATCGCGGCCTCTGTTGTTGCGGAGGACAGGCTCCAGACGCGCAGGCTCAGTAATTGTGGCTCACGGGCCCAGGTGCTCCCTGGCATGTGGGATTTTCCCAGACCAGGGCTCGAACCTGTGTTGTCTGCATTGGCAGGCAGATTCTCAACCACTGCGCCACCAGGGAAGCCCTACTTTTGGTATTTTTCATTCCCCTGTGTAAATCCGTGTTGTCTGATGGCCTTTTCCTTCTGCCTGAAAGACTCCTTTTTGCATTTCTTGTAGTGTGGGTTTGTTGGTGATGAATTTTTTCAGCTTTTGTATATCTGAAAAAGGCTTTCTTTTGCCTTCATTTTTGAAGGATTTTTTTTTGTTATTTAATTTAATTTTATTTTTGAAGGATATTTTCTGATGTGTCTAGAATTGGCAGTTATTTTCTTTTTTGCACTTTAAGGGTGTTATTCCACTGTCTGCTGGATCACGGTGCTTCTCATGAGGGCTCTGCAGTCATCTTTTGTTCGTTCCTTTCAAATGTAATGTTTTTTAGCCCCTGATTTTCTTCTAACAACTGATTTTGAATGATTTTAATTATAATATGTCTCAGTGTAGTTTTCTTCATGCTTCTTGGGATTTGTTGAGCTTCTTGGTTCTGTGGATGTATAGTTTTAATCAAATTTGGACAAATTTTGGACATTATTTCTTCAAATATTTTTCTGCCACCCCCTCTCTTTCTTCTTTTTGGGAACTCCAATTACATGTATAATAGGCCACTTGAATTTGACCCATAGCTCACAGATGTGGTTTTCATATTGTAAAATTATTTTTTCTGTCCTGCTTCACCTGACTGGATAGTTTCTATTGCTGTCTGCAAGTTTAACTCAGTAAAATCTCTTCGTCTCTAAGTTGGATCTTCTAGTAATTCTATCCAGCGTATTTTTCCAGCTTGATGTAGCTTTCATCTCTAGAAGTTCAGTTTAGGTCTTTTTCTATCTTCCATGTCTCTGCTTAACTTTCAGAGCTTATGGAATACAATTACAACTTTTAATGTCCTTATCTGCTAACATCTGTGTCATTTCTGGGTCAGTTTTGGTTGCTGGATTATTCTCTCCATTATTGATCATGTTTTCCTATCTTTTTGCATGCTTGGTAATCTTTGATTGGATGCCAGATCTAATTTTATGTTTTCGGGTACTGGATATTTTTGAATTCCTATAAACATTCTTGAGCTTTGTTCTGGGATGAAGATAAATTACTTGGAAACAGCTTGAGCCTTTTCATCTTGCTTTTATGATTTGTTGGGTGAGACCAGAGCTCACTATACAGTGAGCTCTGTATATACAGCTCACTATACAGCTAATTTTTTCCCACACCATTGAGGCAAAACACTTCTGTGTACTCTGCCCAGTGCCTTGGAATCTTGAGGTTTTCTGTCTGACTGGTAGGAACAGGCACAGTTCCCAGGTGGCTGTGAGTACCAGGCATGCCTTTAATCTTTTCAGATGGTTCTTTCCCGTTATTGGGTAGTTTTTCTCTCACATATGCACTAAGCAGTACTCAAGCAAGTACTTACAGGAATCCTCCGCAGACCCTTGAGTTCAATCTCTGTGTAGCTTTTGTCTCTCCATACTCGGTCTTGCAAACTTTAGCCACAGGGGCTCCCCTCTCTACTTCCGTGTCCTCAACTTGGGGAGAATACTGAGCTCTGCTTGTGTCTTCTCTCCCTGCTGCACAGCCTGGCAACTTTCAAGGCAGTAAGCTTGGGTAATAGTAGGGCTCAACCTTGTTTGTTTCCCATCTCTCTTGGATCATCTTCCTTTGTTGCCTGATGTTTTGTGTCCTGAAAACTGTTGTTTCATGTATTTTGTCCAGCTTGTGGTATTTCAGGTGGGGGAGTAAATCCTCTGTTACTCCATCTTGGTTACAAGCAGAATCCTGCACTGCAGTTTTAGTAACTGCATAGTGTGTATTGTGGTCAGCTACAGGGCTCTCCATCCTATACTCTGCAGTCTTTTCATACCTACCTAAATGCAGAATTTTGTAGAATCCTATGTATCTTGGGAGAGAAAGATATGAAGAACTAATATAATACAGTGTGATTTCTATGATAGTGGTATGAGCAACATATAATGTAGGAGTCCAAGAGAACTAGAATTTTCTCTGGGGATCTTTTAAATGCTTATTCTGTATCTGAGATTAGCAGATCAGTTGGACTCGGTTCCATCTTCAAGTAGATAAGCAGTGCTTTATTTATATGCAAGATGTTTACATAAATGTGGAAGAGGATAGAAGACAAAGCCCTGTAATGTTGCCACTAGAGACTTGTAATCCAAACTGACTTTGTTCCATTAATCATCACCCTATGAATATGGATGTTTAACCAGCCACTGATTCACTTATGCCATCATCCAGACTGTATTTCTCCATTTACCTCGTTTATCTGCAAGTCAAGAGTCTTTTTGTGCAAGAGACTCATGATAATTGTGGCTTATTACTTGAAGCCTCATGAGAAACTTTATTAAATGTTTTCTGAAATCAGAATTTTCTACTTGTTTGCTCTACTAGTTTGTTAAAATAAGGAAATGTGAGTGCTTTGGCGTGGCTTTTCCATGCTTTTCATGTCTTACGTGGCTCAAAATATTTAAATAGGTTGTGGAGCGGTGCTGAGAATTTATGTCAGGTTCCTAGAATTTGATTTTTCCCACTTTTGGGGGCAATATTTATTTTAATCTCCTGTTGCCCATCTGATTCTTTATTTATTTTTGAAGATTATTGATGACAGTTCCCCAGTCATTCATCGTACTGAAATATACTGTTAGTTGTTTTTGCTGTATGGTCCAGTGCATGGTTCGTTTTCATAAGTGTTCCTTGGGTCTTTGAAAAACATGTGCATCCTGTAGTTGTTAAGTGCAGTGCTCTCTATGTCCTTGATTGAGTTTACTGTGTTGCTTCAGATCTTAGAGCTCTGTTGAGTTTTGATCTATGAGATCTGTTATATACTGAGAGATCTTAAAATATCTCCCTGTGATTTTGGATTAGCTTATTGTTTCTTTATGTATTTTGAGTCTGTGTTATTAGATGCATACATGTTTTAAATTGTATTATCATCCTGGTGAATTAAACCTTCGTGGCATTGGATTGTTGTCTATCATTATTTAAACAAAGAGAAATGACTTTGCTACAGTTTTATAATCACTTTTTGATAATGAGGTTTTGAATCAGTTCAACTTTGTGTTCCCTGTTTTTTCATTCAGGTTATCAGTTGATTGGGAGCCACTCGGGGGTGAAGCTTTGCAGGTGGACAAAGGTATTTGTTTTTATTCAAATATTATTTCTGTGTTATGCAACTTTTATATGGCTATTATATGCAACGAATTTTACCATTTTAAAGGTATAATTTACATTTAATAAAATGTAATGGTTTTGAATGAATTAGTTAAATGAGTTTAGCTTTTTTTTTTTAACCTTTTGGCCACGACGCATGGCATGTGGGATCTTAGTTCCCCGACCAGGGATCAAACCCGTGGCCCTTGCATTGGAAGCATGGAGTCTTAACCATTGGACCGCCAGGGAAGTCCAAGTTCAGCATATTTTGATGGATGTAAAAACGCTTATCCACCACCTGAATTAAGCTATAGACTACTTTCCTCATGCCGATAAATTCACTTATGCCCATTTCTGGTCAATACCCCCTCCTCCACAGCAGCGAACAGTTGTTCTCATTGCTATCACTGTAGTTTAGTTTTGCCTGTTGTAGAATTTCACATGAATAGGATCATATAATGTGTAGCTTTTTGCAAGTCGCTTCTTAAACTCAACATAAGGTTTCAGAGATTTAGCCACATGTAATGTGTATCAGTAGTTCATTCCTTTTTATTGGTGAGTACTATTCAGTAGTATGAACATACCACAGTTTTCAATCTGTTGATAGTTATTTGAGTTGTTCTCAGTTTTTGGCTATTATGAATAAAACGGCTATGAATGTGTTTGTACAGTGGTTTTTTTGGTGAACATATGTTTCGATTTCATTTGGGTACATACCTAGGAGTGGAATTGTTAAGTCGTAGGGCAGGTATGTATTTAACTTTATAAGAAACTCCCCGTCTGTTTTCAGTGTGATCGTACTATTTTATACTTGCATCAGCAATTTATGAAAGTTGCTACATATTCTCATCATCATGTGGGATTACACAACTTTTTCCTGATGAGTGTGAAGTGGTACCATTTTGGTTTTATTTACATTTTGCTGATGACTATCGATGATGAGGAGCACCTTTTCATGTGCATATTGGCCTTTCATAGTTGTGAAGTGTCTGTTCAAATATTTTACCCAAGTTGAGTTATCTGACTTTGTATTATTGACTTGTAGGGGTTCTCTATATATTGTGGATATGAGTGTTTTGCCTGATGTTCAGTATGATTATTTTCTCCTAGTCTGTGGCTTCCTTTTTCATTTTCCTAATGGTATCTTTTGAAGTTTTCTTTTTTTTTAATTAATTAACTAACTTATTTATTTTTGGCTGTGGTGGGTCTTCATTGCTGCGTGCGGGCTTTCTCTAGTGGCAGCAAGCATGGGCTACTCTTCATTGCAGTGCACAGGCTTCTCATTGCAGTGGTCTCTCTTGTTGTGGAGCGTGGGCTCTAGGCACGTGAGCTCAGTAGTTGTGGCTCATAGGCTCTGGAGTGCAGGCTCAGTAGTTGTGGCACTTGGGCTTAGTTGCTCTGCGACATGTGGGATCTTCCTGGACCAGGGCTTAAACCCACGTCCCCTGCATTGGCAGGTGGATTCTTAACCACTGTGCAACTAGGGAAGTCCCTCTTTTGAAGTTTTTAATTTGAATAAAGTCCAATTTATTATTATTTTTTTATGGTTAGTATTTTTTGTATTTTAAGAAATCTTTGTCAGCTTTAAGGTCACAAGGATAGTCTGTGTTTTCTTCTGGAAGCTTCATATATAGTTTTAACTTTTATGTTTGGGTCTGTGAATTAATTTTTATGAATGGTATAAGGTAAAGGTCAAGATTGTTCCTTCCTACCACCTGCCCCCTATATGGATATTTGGGTGTTTAGCATCATTTGTTGAAAAAGATTTTCCTTCTACCATTGAATTACTTTTAGGGCTTTGTAGAAAATTCAGTCAACTGTATGGGTAGGCCTGTGTCTGGACTGCTCTTATTCTGTTGCATTGATGTGTTTGTCTATCCTGAAGCCAGTACCACATAGTCTTGATTACTCTGGCTTTGTAATAAGTCTGAAATTATGCAGTATAAGTTCTCTGTATTGTTTTTTTAATTTTCAAGATTGTTTCCCCTCTTCTGGGCCTTTTGCATTTCCATATACATTTTAGGATCAGCCTGTGAATTTCTGTTGTTTGTATTTGTTCTGTTTTCTTAGATTCTATATTTGTCTATTTGTCATCTCTTCACCACAGGGTCAATTACATGAACTATAACTTCTTATTTTCTGCATTCTTGATGCTCTGCAGTCTTATAGAGACTGCCCCTCCCCGGGGCTAATTCCTAAAGATTAACAGCAGCTTGCCTTGAGCATGCCTTTCATATGTAATTCTGAATCTGTAGCTTTCAGCTACCTCCTTATCTAACTCTCTCACATACCAAGCCAATATTTTCCCTGTCCTAAATCATCCCAGGCCCAGCTACCAGAAAACTGGAGATAGCCTTGTAGCTCAAAGCCCACTGGAATAATTCATACTAGCCAGTCCTGCACTGTTTACTTTGCTCTGCCTTTCCTTTCCTGAGGAAACTCCAGTAAAAGCTCTGGCCCAGGCTTCCCCCTCGCTCCTCTGTCTCCTGAACAAACCCTGTGTGGTGTGGTGTGCACCCTTCTCTTGGGATATGTAAGTAATATATTCCTTCAGTAGCATTGGCCTATGTTGGCACTCAGTCACCTCCATAAATTGAAATCATATGGGCACAAATAAGATAGCATTAAAAATTATTTTATTTTTAAATGAAAATACAGTGACGATATTGTTAGTTTCAGATATATGACATAAGTTGACATTTGCATACGTTATGAAAGGATCACCATGATAAGTCTAGTAACCATCTGTCCCCCTACAAAGTTATTACAATATTGTTGAGCATATTCCTTCTCTTGTATATTATATTCCTGTGATGTATTTATTATGTAGCTGGAGGTTTGAACTTCACCTGGTTTGTCCATCCTCTCTCCTCTCCCTTTTGGCAGTGACCCATTCTCTGTATGTGAGTCTGTTTTCATTTTGTTTTGTTTCTTTGTTTTGTTTTATAGATTCCACATATGAGTGAGATCATGTGGTATTTGTCTTTCTCTCTCTGACTTATTTTACTTACCATAGTACCCTCAAGGTCCATCCATGTTGTTGCAAATGTCAAGATTTCATTCTTTTTTATGATTGAGTAATGTTCCATTGTGTGTACACACACACACACACACACACACACACACCACAGTTTCTTTATTCATTCCTCTATCAATGGACACTAAGGTTGCTTCCATGTCTTGGCTTTGTAAATAATGCTCCATTGAACATCGGAGTGCATATATCTTTTCCAACTACTGTTTTTGTTTTCTTTGGGTAAATATCCAGCAGTGAAATTGCTGTATCATATAGCAGTTCTATTTTTATTTTTTTGAGGAACTTCCATACTGTTCTCCATAGTGGCTGCACCAGTTTACAGTCACACCAGCAGTGCATGAGGGTTCCTTTTTCTCTGCATCCTCTCCATCACTTATTATTTGTTGTCTTTTTGATGATAGTGATTCTGAAAGATGTGAGGTAGTATCTCATTGTGGTTTTTTGATTTGCATGTCCCTGATGATTAGTGTTGTTAATCATCTTTTTATGTGTCTATTGGCCATCTGCACTTCCTCTTTGGAAAAATGTCTACTCAGGTCCCCTGCCCATTCTTTATTTTTTAATTTTTATTATTTTTTTTGGCTGCATTGGGTCTTCGTTGCTGCCCGCGGGCTTTCTCTAGATGTGGCAAGTGGGGGCTACTCTCCATTGTGGTGCGCAGGCTTCTCCTTGCAGTGGCTTCTCTTGTTGCAGAGCACAGGCTCTAGGCGCAAAGGCTTCAGTAGTTGTGGTTTGTGGGCTCTAGGGTGCAGGCTCAGTAGTTGTGGTGCACGGGCTCAGTTGCTCCGCGGCATGTGGGATCTTCCCAATCCAGGGATCAAACCCATGTCCCCTGCATTGGCAGGCGGACTCTTAACGACTGCGCCACCAGGGAAGCCCCCCTGCCCATTCTTTAATCAGGTTGGTTGGTTGGTTGTTGTTGTTATTAAGTTGTATGTGTTTTTATGTATTTTGGATATTAACCCCTTATTGGATATATTGTTTGCAAATATCTTCTCCCATTTAGTAGGCTGCTGTTTTTGTTGTTGATAGCTTCCTTCACTGTGCAAAAGATTTTTAGTTTGATATAGTCCCATTTGTTTATTTTTGCTTTTGTTTCCCTTGCCTTAGGAGACAGATCCAAAAAATATTGCTAAGATTGATGTTAAAGAGCGTGCCACCTATGTTTTCTTCTAGGAGTTTTATAGTTTCAGACCTTACATTTAAGTCTTTGATCCATTTTGAGTTTATTTTTATATATGGTGAGAGAAAATAGTTCATTTTGATTCTTTTGCATGTAGCTGTCCAGTAATCCCAACATCATTTACTGAAGAGGCCGTCTTTTTCCCATTGTGTATTCTTGCCTCCTTTGTCGTAGATTAGTTGATCGTGTAAGTGTAGGTTTACTTCTGGGTTCTCTATTCTGTTCCTTTGATCTATGTGGGTAGATTGGAAACAGAACTGGTAGTAAGAGTGGTTGAGGGAAGTGAGGTGGACCTCTGGTGACACTTTCAGAGTAAGATTTAAAGATGACAGGCAACCCCAAAATAAACAAGTTCAATTTCAAATAATTATTGCAAGATAGATTTCTCATCATTGTGCTATAAAAATTAATACATAAAATGACCACACTAACTTTTTAAACAACTTTGATTAGTGAGAATCCTGCATTTCATATGTCTGTTAACTTAATATTTGGTTCCAAGTCTACCAAAACCATCTCAAATCTCTTCTGTAATGTATTTATAGGTGACACCTACGAATATAACATGGGATACAGGTATTGTGTTGGTGACTTAAATGCTAGAAACAGCATTGTTCTCTGTGACATGGTTTTTCAAAATGCTGAAATTTCTTATAAAAGCTTTGCATCAAGGAAAGTGTTTTCTTTCCTCATTTTACATAATAGCTGCCTTCCTGGAAAATTCAGCGTATGGGAAAATGTGCAGAAAATACTTCATTGGTAA